CCGCCCCCGCCCCCCGCGCCACCCCACTCTCCACCCATCGCCACCCCGGTCCCGCCAGGAGTGGGTGTGTTACCCGGGGGGTTCCAAGGTAGGGGAAAATTTCTTCCGATGAATTTTAATGCCACGGGGTGTGTGCCGTCGCTGCGCACCGCCCACTTTCTTTTCTTTTTTTTTTTTTTAGGCGGGCAGGTTGCCAGGGGGGGGGGGGGGGGGGGGGAGAGACAGCAACACAGCAAGACGCACAGACACAGGCATCTGAAACACAGCTACCCCCATCCAACCTGCTTTCAGCCCAGTTCAAAGTTGCAAAGCTCCTTCTTGGACCGTTCGCTGTATCAGCAGAGATGAAGGTGGACAATTAGGAATGCAGCAAATGACATAGAAAATAAAACATGCTGCTAGGTACAAAATGAGATTCCAGGGTACGTACCATATCTTACTTCAATATCATTGCCATTTGTCACTGTTGTCCCATTCCCAGAAAGTGAAACCGTGACATTGTGATATCCAGGTTGAAGAGAAGAGTATCGGCAGGTAATCTCATCAAGTCGCATTGCTATCACATGGCACCTGGCCATATCACCTCCAATGCTGATTACCACATCCTCATACCTTTGGTTGCTGGCATAATCACCAGGGAACCATCCACTTATGTTGAGATACCCCGGCCGTCCAGCAGGAAGCTCTTGAGCACTCAGGGCCGTTATGATTGGTATTGCATACTGCGTTTCACTTGCTGTTGGATCAACATATGCAACGGCACCAGCAAGAGTAGCATTCTCAACGAAACCGTCACTGTACTCAAGGAATACATGTATGTCAATAAGCTCCTCCGTTCCGTTGATCTCCAAGGCCGGGGGAGACACACATACGAATGAGGTGCTGGTGACGCTCTGCGAAAGAACAACAGCAGGTCCCCAAATGCCAAACTGAACCGTCAGTTCTGCTGAGTCGAACCCTCTACCTGAGATGGTGACCAGAGTCTGGCCTTGTAGGGCGACGTATTTTGGGCTTGCTGATCCCACTTTCAGGGCCCTAACCATGACCCTTGCAGATGTTTCCATGACTCCTATTGATTGGCCCACTCCCATGATCAGCACCTTGACTTCTGATGGTCCCGATCGAGTGTCTAGCGCTGGCACAACCATGATTGTAGTTTCTGTGGTGTTTCTCACATTTGCCTTTTTATGACCAATGAAAAGTTGAATCATCCTCATGTCTTTCACAAATCCTGACCCTGATATGGTAAACACAGTCTCAACAGTGCCTTCCTTGGGGCTCACAGACATAATACTTGGTGTCAAGGAGGGGTCATAAATCAAAGCACAATGCTGCCCATCTCTGCGCATTTCACATTCACAGCAAAGCTGTCAACAACTGGTTTGGATAGGAAATGAAGACTTGTTGTTTTTGATACAATACAGAATGAGGCAAATCTTTCGGCAAAATCACCTCAAGGCCCAAGCTTAGATGTTCTGAACAGCCCCCATTCTCCACTCAGCAACACTAGACCAGGCAAACAGCCCGAACTGCAAGGTGGCCAAACAGAAGACAATAAAAGTCTACGTGGAAAAAGAAGGTCATACTCTGTCAAGCATAGTGAATTCAGGCTTGTAATGCCAGCAAACAAGAGAGAGAGAGAGAGAGAGAGAGAGAGAGAGAGAGAGAGAGAGAGAGAGAGAGAGAGAGAGAGAGAGAGAGAGAGAGAGAGAGGGGGCTGAGTGCATCAGATAACAGTCTGAGCCACTCCGATGCCTATGCACCCTCATTGCCATCGGAACTGAACAATTAGAAATGAGGCCAAGAGCATAGCCCAAGCCTCAAAGCACCTGAAGCAGGAGACGGTCTGAAGTAACAACCTGAAGCCCACACATCATGGGCTGCCACAAAGTCTATACATGTATCTGCAGCACACTACCTGAATGATACGGAATGGTATCACACACCATCACACTGTGCAAAGAAACCAAGCCCCTCTTTTACCTGAGCTGGTTGTAGGATGTGAACCGACAACCTGCACAACTATTTGCTGCAAATCGGTGCCTACATCTAGATATGTTACAATATCACCGAAAAAGTTAGATCTTAGACTTAAAGCATCGGCAACAACATTATATTTCCCCTTTACTGGCTTTAGCTCAAAATTATGCTGATCAATCTCGGCGGCCCACGTAGTCAATTTAGGTGTCAGTCGGGCCTGCGTTTTAAGCCAACGAAGTGTCTCATGATCTGAGTACACTTTGAAATGGCGTCCTAAGAGATAGTGTCGCCAGTGATCCAGAGCTTCCGGGAGAGCAAACAACTCTCTCTCATACGTAGAAGCGGCGACCTTCTCATTAGGTAGTCGTCGGGACATAAACTCAACAGGCCTGTATCCATTCCCATCATCTTGTTGGAGCACAGCACCTATCCCGTACTGACTGGCGTCGGTTGTGACGACAAAGGGCAAAGAAGGATCAGCAACTTTCAAAACCGGGTAGTTAATCAGACATTTCTTCAGGCGTTTAAACGAAGTCGTACAGGCTGAGTCCCACTTCCAGATTGTTTCTTTCTTAAGCAATCTCCAAAGGGATGCAGCAATTATCGTGAAGTGTCTAACGAACTTCCGATAATAGTTGGCTAGCCCAAGGAACGACCGCAACTCAGTCAAAGTGCGGGGGTTAGGCCAATCACAAATTGCTGTAATTTTTGCGTTTTCCGGTTTGATCCCATCACCATCAAGCACATATCCTGGATATAAAACCTGACGCTTAGCCCATTCACACTTCTTGGGGTTCAATTTCAACTTTGCCTCACGCAATTTATTTAGCACAAGTCGAAGGTGCTCACAATGTTCTTTCAGGTCTTTACTAAAAATCAGAATATCATCAAGATAAACAACAACAATTTATCAAGCCACTCGCGAAAAAGCTCATTCATCGTTCTTTGGAAAGTTGCAGGGGCATTCGTAAGACCAAAGGGCAATACAACGAGCTCATAGTGCCCATACCTTGTTCGAAAGGCAGTCTTGTATTGGTCTTCTGGCTCTACCTCAATTTGATGGTAGCCAGACCTCAAATCAATCTTAGTGAAGTACTTGCTACCCTGCACTCGATCCAACAAATCGTCTATTATCGGCAATGGCTCAACATTCTTAACTGTTATATCGTTCAATCTCCATCTTTCTTTGGTAGAAAAAGCACTGGCGCTCCATAAGGCGAGGAGCTAGGCCTTATCCATCCCTTTTCCAGCATTTCATCAAGCTTGGTTCGAAGTTCGTCCAACTCTTTGGGTGACATTCTATATATAGGCCCCTTAGGAATCTGACTTTCTGGCACAATCTCAATGTGATGTTTGATTGGTCGTTCCACCACACCGCTTGGGGCCTCTGCCACATCTGTGAATTCTTTCAAGATCTTTTCAATTTCGGGGGACTTTGCCTCTTCTTTGACTTCACCCTCCTTCGTTGGGCGCACATATGCGACAAAAACTTGATCATACAAGTTATACTTTTTCACATGGCGAGCGAACGCGGGGGCACTCATACAACAATGAGCCAAGCTGCCGTCCTTATCAGATTCATGGAATAGGTGGATTTTCTTCTTTCCACCACGCGGACTTGGGAGCCAACATTCATGATCCCTTAACTTTATATCCACATTTGCAGCTTCACCCCAATCCATGCCTAAAAAAATGTCTTCCACCAAGAGAGTCAGAGAGTGGAGAACGCGTTCCACCTTCCCCTCTGCTTCGAGCCGGAAGTATATCTGAACCCCTTCAACATATCTATCCATTACAGTTACAGAACTATTAGCTAGTTTACTCATTATGGGTTCATCTAACTGTTTTACCTTAAGCCCGAGTCGCAGCTTTTGCAAACCCTTTTTACTTACATAGCTGCGTGTTGACCCGTTGTCAATCATTCCTCCAACTCTTACTTTATTTATCTTTAGATCTGCAATTATTAACTGTCCTTTACGTTTCTTCATTTCAGTCCAGGCTTGGCGACGAGCGGCCAACTCATCACCCATGCCAGCGAGGGATCCACCTAGAGAGGTACACACACTTAATACCTCTGGACAGTGTACTAGGTGGGGACTGTCTGTCTTTTCTGTTTCTGCCTGAGGAACCTTCGGATGGGAGGATGTCTTTCTGTTTACATCCGAAGTTCCGGTAGAGGCAACTAAAACCTCTACTGGCTGTTCCCTTTTGGTTGTTTGTAGTCGGGACAGAAGGGAACGATGTGGTTGGGGTCACCACATTTGAGGCATTGATCGGCGACCTTTCTGTCCTGCCAAACTTTCTCTGTAATCCCCAGTTTCTTCCAAGGCTCCCTTTCGGGCAAACCTGGATGGGGTGGATATGGTTTGTCCCATGTACCATACCATGCGCCTCTTCCTCTTCCCCAGGTAAAATACGAACCACGACCACCTTGCGAGGGACCATTGCCCCTTCCACCCACGTAGTAGCTACCTTCGCCACCACCCCTTTGGGTACCGGGTCCTCTTCCACCACGTCCGCGACTTCCTCTTCCTCGGTTGCGGCCTCTTCCTTGTCGCCCTCCCTCGCGGGCTGCAACGGCCGCGTAGTTCCCCTCCTGAACTACCGAAGCGTTGGGTCCTCCCTCTAGACCATAATCTATCTGGTCGTAAGAGAGACTTTCGACACCTCCTTCTTCAAAGGTAAGAAGGAGATTGTCTTTCCCAGGTATGTTCCCTGAGATGGTGCGGTTTTGCCATTTCTTACCCGCTTGCAGATCTTTCCAGTAATGGCAATAATTAGCCTCGGCTAAGAAGCCGGCATGATCTATAGCGATCTTGCTGAACTTCTCATATGTCATTCCCTCTTCCTTTGTGCGAGTATAGAGCTGAGTACGGAGAGGGTCGGGCAGTGCCCTAGCGAAGTTATTGAGGATCTGAGTAGGAGTGAGTCCATGTTCAGCGCATTATAAGAGTTCATCCATCATTGCTTTGAGTGCAGATTCACTTTTCCATTTCCTATCCGCAATATTTAAGATCAACATTTATGTTCGGCGAGCCAGACTTTTATCTTCAAATCGTTCTCTCTGACAACCTTAAAGAAGTCTTTGATTCTTGTTTGCTGTGAATACTCGATCATAGTCTGGCAATTAGCTTCTTTTTGCAACGATATGGCGAAGCTCATCGCATCGTCGACCATACATGAAGTGGCCATTAAGACTTTGTCCCAATACGGAATGCGCTATCCGTACACATACGACTCTACGACAAAATCCAATGTAGAACACTCTCCTCCTTCTTGCCTGTGTAAGTCCACGACACTTTAACTTTAATCTTTCTTATATCCCCACTATCTTTTCACAACACTCCCTTTCCTTTCTTGTCTCCATTACCCCCGTCTCCGTCTCCATCTCCTCCTCCGCCGCCGCTGCCACGAACTATCTTGTCAATTACAACAGGCGTAAAGGTTTGTGTGATGTGAGTATCTAATTTATGGATAAAGGATTGTATATGTTGATCAACATCTTTGGCAGACTTCTGCAGAAAGGTATTCCAAACTCCCTCAAACTTATATTGGTGGGGTTCAACTTGTTGCAATGTTTTGTTCATTGCTTCCAACTCTTGCGTTGTATGCAAGACTGTTTCTGTCAAGATGACTTGTTTTTCTTCTGTTGCAGCTTGCTTACCTTTTGGTCTTGCAGCTCTCTTTGTAGCCTTGCACCCTCTGCCTGCAGCCTTTTCCTTTCGTCAAACTTTTGTCGCTTCGCTGCTAACATTTTCATATGCAGTTCCGCACGCTTTTCCTCCAACAAGAGTTTTTTTTCCCTTTGGTCTTTAATGGAATTCAGTTTCGCAACGAACGTATCTCTTTCCTCCTCCGTCTCTTCAATTCGGTCGCTGGAATATGCATATTGATCATACCAATTCAGCGGTTTGACCTGGAGTTCCCCACCTGTCTGGCTAGTTTCTCCCCTTTCTGCTCGTCGCCTGATGAGCATGTCATCAGCAGATTCATCTTCTTCCTCTATTGTCTGTAATTCCTCTTTCAACTCCTTTTCTAACTTTTCTTTCATTTCTCTCTTCATTATTTCTTCTTCCATCTGCGCTTTCTTCTTTATTTCTTCTTCTTTTTGTCTTTTCCTTTCTTCTTTCTCTTTCTTCTTTTCAGCCAGGCGGCGATCTAGTTCAGCCTGCTCTGCAGCCGAGGGCCCAGGCTTTGCTGTGCCAGATCTCAGCATCATCCGAGAGGTGCAGGTCCTCCCGAAGCCCAGGGGAAAAAATACTTTGAACAAGGGGCCCATCAAAACAGAGAGGGCCAATAACCCATGCATAGGGTAATCGTCCATGATGGAACACAGCACAGGTACCCCTCCGCTGGTCCCA